TGATATGGATCTTAGAACCTTGGTAGGATCTAGATCTGCCTCTTAAGGTGTTGGAAACACGAAACTCATTCTTGAAACTCCATTAATGGCGGAAGCAATAGAAGATACAATAAGCACCTTGGGTTAGGCTAGAATATGAAGTAGAAAATAGAAACAAGTAAAGAAATGTAATAAAAAATGGACTAAAGGAAGAGAAATGGTAAGAACATGTCACCTTCAATTCAAGAACCAAAGGATAAGTGCAAGATGATTCACCACTTGTAAAAGCTTCTCAATTTGAAAGCTTTTTATTTTGTTTGCGTAATAGTTGATAGGCTTATGATAGCCTTGACGAGTTTGACAATAATTCATGATAAGCTTGAATAACATAATGAATGTCAGAAAAGTCTACCTCTTCGTCAGAGTCGTCTGACGAGTATCTAATGTTGTTTTCCATAAGACAAAGATTTTCTTCCTTTTCTCCTTCAGATTCAGAAGACTTTGGGTCCTCCCAAGTTCCCACGAGAACCTTCTTTATATATTTTCTATTGAAGACTACCTTTTCTTAGCATTCTTAAGATCTGAACATTCTGACTTGAAATGTCTTGGCTTTTTGCACTCGTAGTAGACAACTGATCCTTCCTTTTTGTTATCTATCTGATCGTTTCTGGAAGTGGATCCAATGCGTCTACCTTTGGAAGTTGTGCCTCTCTTTCTCCTCCATATGGAGAATATTTTCCTTGAGAAGAATGATAATTCATCCTTCTCCTTATCACTCATTGGGTCTTTATTGTCTGAATCTTCTGAGGATTCTTCAGCAATAAAAGTCTTTATAGGTGTTCTTTTGACAGACCTTTGTGCTTTCAGAGCAATGTTCCTCTCTTCCTTCAGTAGTCCATCCTGTTGAAGCTCTAGCTCATGCACCTTTAGGATTCCAACAAGTTCCTCCAAGCTCATACTCTCAAGGTTCTTTGAGGTTCTTGAAGCGATTACTTATGATCTCTGTTAAAGACATAACCGTCTATATGTAACGCCTCAATTTCTAGGGTGTCGCGGGTTATTCAAAAATCAGTAAAATTTCAAACTTTAACATAATGCGAAAATGTATTTTCAAAAACCTCAACATTTAAATGTGCATAAAACATAATAGTTCTAAAACATTTGCCCAATGCAAACAACGAAGGAAATAAAATGACTCCAATTATATTGTCTTAAAGTTCAAAAGTAATAACTGTAAATAAAATCCCAAGTCTGTCCCCCATCATCGCTCGAATCTATCATGACTCAACATCATCCACAACATCATCTACTCACGTATAACACATTATACGATCAACGCCGATAATATCATTCACAAACACACAAACACAAACACGTATAGGGTAAGCTACCAGTAAAACAATCATAATAACATGATATAAACATACTGATTAAATCAATAATAATCAAACACCCCATACATAGTAGTAATAACAATAAGATTCTTAGTCCTTTAACATAACAATTAATTCAAAACGAATTATACGATCTTCGATCCTCGATCCTAGGTCTCTAACCCTTGATGTCATCACTAACATCTCACAGATAGACCCTTGGTTTATCCACTCATTAACACCTATGCTAACTACTTACTATAACTATTATAGTATTGCTGCTATCACATAACATCACTTGGAGCATCTCAAATACCATGATCTCCATCATAGATACACTACTATCATGACTATCCTAGTCATAATCAACATCATGAGCATCATTGTAACATAAACACCACAGTAGAAAGAATCAGTCACACTTTTGTACCCTACCTCACTGACTATAGCCGCTCCTACAGTCGCTCCTATAGCCTCATATATAGATTCTCCATACAAATACATTCGAATAGTCCCGCAATCCAACTAAAGAACATGTAATCCTGCCACACAAGGATAAGGAAAACACCTTCACCCCTACACAAGGAAGGCTCAATACCCGAATAACCCTTCCAATGCACACAAGGCAAAGAGGAAACACCTATTCGTAGATAACACTAGGATTTACGAGGTACAACTAGTAGACTTATCCTCCACTCTCATGCTCATCAATCACATACTTTGGTACATCCCAACACTCATTCATGCTCCAATTCTCAATCACAAGTCAAAACTGACCTTAAATATAACCATTACTCTCATTCTCTGAGTACCAACACGTTCTACAACTTCTCAGGCTTGGTCTACATCCATTCTTCATCAAATTCGACATTTTTCAAAAAAATGCACTGTGATAATCGATTATCTCAGTGAAAATTACCCATAAACATCACACAAAAAGGGATAATCGATTATCATCCCAGATAATCGATTATCATCTAAGATATATAATCGATTATTCTCGCAACTAGACTCAACCTCGACGCACAGATAATCGATTATCACTAATAATAATCTATTATATTTGGAGCGAAACACATTATGGACATAATTTAAACATTCAAACACATACATCAACCCTAAATCACGTGGAAACATACTCAATATATTAAACCTTTCACCTGATTATGAAATTAATGTTTTTGATTTAAGTTCTTTTACAAGAGTTGTTGACAATGGAAAAGATACCTACATGAAGACAAATTCTTCTAGATTGATGAAGACCGTATGAAAGGCCACACATTAAGTCTTGAACTCAAGTTATAGCAAGGAGACCGAAAGAGAAAGAAATACCAAATGGGTCTCATTTAGTGTAAAATCGAAGGTGATCTCTTCATTCCAACATCAACCTTGGTAGAGTATTACTCCCTCCACCACCACACAGTACTCCCTCCACCTTACCATTCTTCTTTTACCCTTCTAAATATTTAATTTTTTGTAATTAAAAATTTTAATTTTCACCAACATAACAACATCCGTTTATTCTTAAACGGATATCAACATCCGTTGACGAATATCTACCTCCGTTGAAGGATAAGAGATCCGTTCAGCAGAACTAGAAATTGAGTCGAGCTTAGGAACCCCTTCAAAGCCAATCATCGAGCCACTTTCCTGGTACTCTTCATCTTCTTCAGTTTCATTCTTCACATCCTGGTTAACATCGACAGTAATATGACACTTCCACCAGAATATAAAGGAGCAATGATGAAGCAGTCATTACTAATATAAAAAAATGGAAATGAAGAGATTATAATACCTAATACAACCATCATCCCAGAAATCATCTTAGTGAATTTCAATACCCTAGCAAAATCTGTAGCACAAACAAAAGTTGCAACTTTATTAAGCTCAAACTCCTCTTTCAATGCTCATCGTCTAGTTTCTCATTTTGTTGGTTAGGTGTATTCTTTTAATAATACATTATTATGTGTGTACTTAATATTGAACATTTTTTTTATCAATACTTAAATATAAATAAAGTATGGAACGACATGGTTTTGGGACAATGGTTTCGGTGATGGGAGGAGAGCGAAGGAACGCGACGGGGAGTGTGGCAGAGAAGGGAGGAGCGGAAGCTTGGGAAAATGAGATATGCAATAGGCCATTGGCATTGTGGAAGAAGAAACTGAAATTGTAATTGTAACTGGGTCGGTTTAGGGTTTCAGTGTCCTTTTAATGGGTGGAAGTACTCCATAGTTTCATTTACACTGGTTGGAGCATCACCGACGGGTGAGGTGATCGAGGCAGCGACATCACCGACAAGTGAGGTGATCGAGGTAGCGACATCCTGATCAGCAACCACAATTTTAACAATTGCTACAAAGAGCATAAACAAACCTTGATCATCAGATTTATTACATGAGTCAGTGACAATGGAAACAACAAAAATGGAGGAGGAAACATAAATAAAAAAATAAGAAAGCTAAGAGGAGGAAAGGAAAAAGATAGTGAATCACATAAATGAAGGTTATGTGAGCGTGTGGGAGTACTACAACAGTGAAAAAGAGAATGAAAATGAGATTAGGGTTTTAGATTAAAATAGGTAAAAATAAAAAATAAATATTCATATAAGGTTAGTTTTGGAAATAAGAAAAGTTGGGAAAGTGCAAGAAGCACTGTGTGGTGGTGTAAAAAGTAACACTCAACTTGGTATTTCATTCCCGGGGTCCGTGTTCAGTAGCGCTAACCATCAACCCATCAAAAACTCAAAAACTGCATAAAGAGGTCACCTCCTTACCTTGAATTTGAACTTAAATTGATTATGTCTATTTGTGGAATTCTTCGGATCTTTCCTTGAAAGTGAAAGTCTCCAAATTTTTCACAGTAAAACTTGTGTAAAGTTGAGTTTTTTTTTCTTTAAATGCATTACAAATTTGAAGAGCCTCGTTTGAGACTTCCACCAACAAATCTTTATGAATTTAATATTTATATTCTTAGCCATTTATTACCAATGACAAATTAGTATGTTTGTCTCGTCCACCTTGTTTATTTTTGACTTGACAAACTTTTATACGTAAAAGAAACAACAAAATTAGGTAACTATATCCATTAAATGCATGATTAAATAAAAATAATTTTTTGGAAAATGAACATTTCTTCTTAAAAGAGACACTTTAAATTTATAAATATAAAAAATAGATATTTGAAAATTTACTTTTTTAGAAATTACTCTCGTTATTTTGATATAAATAGATAGTTTAAACTTTAATTTTTTTAAACATTATTACTGATAAACAATACAAAGTTTGAAATTTAATTTCATTTTAATTCATCCTACTTTTTTTTACAAAGTGTAGATATGAAATTAGATTTAAGTGATTTATGTTAACTATAATAACTCATTAATACTTTTCATATATATTCTTTAGTTACAATTCATTTTTCATGTATTAAAATATAATAAGTGAATTTAATAAAGAAAATGATGAAAACGATAAAATCGTAGCTGTATTACAAAATCAGCCTGATTACTTCGATGTTCCAACATTTTACTTATATCTGGCAGCCTTGCATCATTTATTATCTTTAAAAAATATACAAGATCCATCATCAAATAAGTATTTTAATAATCATTGAACTTTTGGACTCAGACTCAGTTTTGTATAACCTGATTCCGTTGTTAATATATAAGGGAAGTAGAAATTGATACAGAAAACTTTCAATAGAAAAGAGCTGTTGTCTAATCCAAGAACAAGGAGGAGGATTTTATAGTCACTCATCTTGCTTCCAGAGTTGTATTTGTGATAACATTAACTGAAAATGTTGAGGGCAATGTTGAACTATAATCACCTCTTACCTTTAGAAATGCAGGTGGTTTAGGAGAAGGAAGGAGCACAGTGTCATTTCCAATCATTGATACAACATCAGACATGGTTGGCCTATCTTTTGGACTTTCTTGAACGCAAAGAAGTCCTATGTTCACATACCTTGGCACAGTATGCAGACTGTTATTACTTAAAGTATCACTGTCATCTAATGCATTGTCCATTAGATCCAGTCCTGAATTTCTTGTCCAAAGATCCCAAGCCTTCAAGATTTAACACAAAACAACCTCAAAATTAGAAAGTCTGGAGCATATTCTGGTATGCCACTATGATTTTGTATACTCCATCTCATGATGAAAATTTAAACTTGAACTCGTTCTCTGATGTTAGATTAAAAGTAGTATTAATCTTTTGCGTGGGTTGAACTCAGATTACATATATGTAATTTCTCTTTGATGAATCCTTTCTCAAAATAGAAAACTCATTAGGCCATAACATACCATTTGTAAAAAGGCTTAAAACATGCACAAAAATCATGGAATCAATTTGAATGTGAGAATGCAAAGGAAGAGCAAATGGATGGAATCTAGAAACTCACATATCCAAGAAGATTGAAGGAATTCGTTTGATAAAAGCCAGTATTCTTCTTGCCACTTACAATCTCCAACAAAAGGACCCCAAAACTAAACACGTCCGATTTTACTGAGAAGAGTCCTTCCATAGCATATTCAGGAGCCATATAACCACTGAGCATAAGGTACATTAATTAGTAGATGGTTGATCATGTAAAGAAAAGTAGTTGAAGTTAATTGACTTACTATGTTCCAACTATTCGGTTTGTATTTGCTTGAAGCTCATTATCACCAAATATTTTTGCCAATCCAAAATCTGATATTTTGGGATTCATATGGCTGTCCAACAATATGTTGCTAGCTTTTAAATCTCGGTGAATGATCCTGAACCTGGAATACTGATGAAGATAAAGAATTCCTTGGGCAATTCCATCAATTATTCTGACTCTTGTTCCCCAATCTAGCATCTGTTTCTTTGTTGCATCTGCTATGCATCATTGAAGATGTCA